GTGCCCGCCATCTTGGATTTAGAAATGAGTGCCATATTCGTAATGAGCACCCCCAAGTACCTCGAAAATGATACCCATATTGCATTTATTTGAAAACTCGTGTCCGCCATCTTGGATTTAGAAATGAGTGCCATATTCGTAATGAGTATCCCCAAATACCTCGAAAAGGATACCCATATAGCATATTTTGAAAAATCGTGTCCGCCATCTTGGATTTACAAATAAGTGCTATATTCGTTTTTCATCGACAAAACCGAGCATATCTGTAGGCACCTGATCGACATTGTCGATTGACAAAATCGAGCACATCTGTAGGCACCTGATCGACAATGTCGGGCAAATTTGTAGGCACCTTTAACTTAATGATGAGTTAAGCAAGATACAATTTCCCCACTTTTGAGGGAAATGTTATTCCATGGCATCATTATTTGTATATTTGTGTGCGTGCCGACGAGTGTAGTTACAAGTTGCTTACGCCTACATGAATTTGGTTTTTGCCTCACTTGTGACAGTTGGTTTGATATGAAACTATCATTCTATGCGTTATTATTCTAAGTATTTATATATATATTATATTTAATAGAATTAAAGAGCGAAATAATAAAATGTATGTGAAAATGGCGGGTTATAATAGTTAAATTTTTTACACGAATTAATTTTTAACTTATGTATATTACATTGTGCGTTTCTTCATTATTTGTTACCATTAAGCTGTTGGCTCTGAAGCCAATGCTTTATAAATAAATAAATAAATGAAAATAATATAAAAAAGAGCAAATATTTAAATTGTGGATCAAGTAATCAAACAATATTGGATGTAGGATTCGCAGGTTTACTCGTCCTATATGGGTACTCGTAAGACGAACAATCAGATATATCACTGGTAGAATTGTTATAAACCACTTGTATACCACCATGTGTTATGTATGATTTATGTATGACAATACAACATCAAGTTAATGTTAAAGTCGTCATCCGTCTTGTCCGTATCGTATCGTTGTCGTGTTCTAAGAAGTATCATTGTTTTGTATCATATTTAAATAAATAAAAAATAAAATAAAAAGACATTTATTTATCCAGAAAACATATAAACAAACTTAAACGAACAATTAAATCAAAAGAAGAGTAGGTAAATGTGGACAAAAAGGATGAAGTTCAGCATTGCAGACTTTCAGCCTTCACCTTAAAGCTATTCGCTTGTTGCATCAGGCCGACAAGTGGAGTGTATGCCTAAACACCAAGCAATTAATAGAGACTATCTGTGTTGAAGTATATGTAAAATGAAAAAAAAAAAAAAATTCTAAAATTTTATTTATTTGCAATTATTCGCAGTAGCAATTGGTCGGTGGTTAAATGCACTAGCAACAAGTGCATTTAACCACCGACCAATTGCTACTCGATTTCTGCACAGACAAGAAATATTGCTTACAAGTTTTTTTAAAGAAACAGCGTTTTAGCATTTTTTAACGGAGGCGGCAGGTAATTGCAGCACTTACTCGCTGCGTATCGAAAACTGCCCCTGAGTAGAGTTAAGCGAGGAACAGACAATAAACATAAATTCGGGTACCGTTGAGATTTAACATTTAAACAAAACTTAGGTGGAGTGACCTGCCATCATACATTTAGTACATATGTAGGTACCCACATCTATGCCTGCCACACAATGGCAACTTGTATTTTTAGTTTGTGATGGCAACTGTGTGGCAGGTCAATCCAGCAAATTTTTTTGTTTTTAATCATTGTCGTAGTGTAAATAAAATAAAACATAGTAGATACGCGTCTTGTAACATTTGTAACTTTATTTATTTTCTATTTTTTCTACTTTTCACATACACAGCTTGGCTATAATACTGACAAAGGATTACCTAAGTATAACCAATTTCCTTACTATTCAAACATTTTAGCTAAGTATATAACTCTGAGTATATTGACTAGAACCTCATAATACTGAGTGAGATTATTGAAATTGATTGAAAACTATACATATATTAACCTAAAAAACCTAAAAAAATATTTACATTTATTTTAATTGTAGATATTTACACTTATGATATTGGTAGGTAACTACAACTTTATGTTTAGTAGGTACCAGTTTAGTACTGTACCAAAATGTCAAATGTTAATTTGATGGCGATGGTTATTTTTTGAATGACTGTTAACTGGAAATCATCGTGAAGGACGAAACAAAAAGTCAATATGGACAGTCCGCCGCAGGGATCTTGTTATAATATTGAAATCAATATTCTATTCAATAAGTTTAGTTTGGTCAACACTCTGTAAAGACTGATAGGCTTATTGCGAAAAGTCTAGAAAGAAGGGGGAAAAAAATTGAATTTAAAATATAACTAAAAAATGAAAAACGCTTAATTCTTACAACCTATTTACAATACTTATAATATAGGAAATAATACATTAGATCTGAATAACACGTACCTAGTTCACTCATTACATTTTTTGTAAGCCTGTGCGGCATCAATACATTAGATAAAGTAACAACATGACGGATAACAAACGATTGTCACTCAATAATGTCACTCTGATTATGATCAGAGTCGTCATCAACTTCCATTTATTTAGTCACAACTAGAATGTCGCGTACTTCTCTAATTTATGGATAGCCCATTGACATAACAATTATACACAATATTCGGATTTACATGTAAACAGCGGGCACGCCACGCTGCGGCAAATGTCAGCCCAGCATACTACCCGACATGTTGCCATGAACACGCATGTGACGGTTCAAGTTGCCTGATTGGGAGAACCTGAAAACAGATAATCACGTGTAATGTACCGTACCTATACTCAATAAAAAATCGAGTAGGAGTGGCAGTAGAGCTCCTTGTGAAAGACTTCCTCCAGGGAAGTACTGCCACCTTACCTATTTCTGCCGCTAAGCAGTACCTAATGTGAAAATGATTGCGTTCCGGTTTAGAAGGGTACTAAGGGTGCTGGTAAAATTACAAGCACATGGGGCTTGTCAACTTATGTTGTCTCAAGGTGACGGGCGCAGTGCCCCTCGATCTTTGTGATTTCAAAAGCTCTGAGTGAAGAGCTTTAAATCAAATCTCTTCACTCTGTCCAACAGAACAGGTGTGTAGCTTATCCGTTCCGTCTCTTGATATTATAAAAACAAATACCCAGTTATCTGTTTCTGCCGCCAAGTAGTAATGTGAGTATTACTGCGTTCCGATTTCGAAGGTAAAGAGATGCCCTTATACATATAGGCGATTCTTCGATTCAATCGATCGTCACGATAATCGTATCGATCCGTCGCTACTCCCCTGGCGTTCAAGTTAATCGTTCACGACATAAACATACACAATCGATTCGTTGTTTCGATCAGTCATGATAATGAATACATATCGTACCATATATAGGGGCCTTAAGCGTGCAAATGAATGATTGTCAACTTTGTCTCAGAGTGACGGGTGCACTGGCAATGCTATCAGGTCTTTGCGACTTAAAGCTTTGCGTAGCATTGCAATTGTTATGAATAGGCGTGTCGCTTACCACTAGGTGCACAAGTCGTAGCGTCACTTAGTACCTTATACAAAATGTATCACAGTAGTTATTTAAACCCACCTCAATAAGCACAGTTTGCATTGGTAAGGTTTTTCTCCTGAATGTATCCGTAGGTGTTTCGTCAGAGTTGAACTGTCTGAAAACGCCTTTTTGCAAGAACGGCACCTGTTACAAAAAAATATTACACTCGAGAGCAATGAATCCGGGTCACTTAAAGAATCCAAAAAATCTCGGAAAGTAAGAATGCTAGGTTAATGCAATAAATTGTATTTAATAGACAATTTAATACTCCTTAAATGAAAGTAAAAAAAATATGAGTCACCATACATTTTATTTACACAAAATTACATAAAGAAAAAAAACTGCTGATCTCTCCTTAAAACAAAAATAGGAAACATGAAATTTTTGAACTTACGATTTTCTTGAATTTTAATACTTCGTATTGCCTCCTCGTGCTTCCATTACTGCGTTTAGGCGGTTTGGCATGCTGTACACCAAGTTCCTTATACGATTTTGGGGAATATTCTCCCATTCCTGTGATTGGGGGAGGGTTTCGTTGTTTTACGCATCTCCCTAGCTCGTCCCAAGCATGCTCGATCGGGTTGATATCCGGGCTGCGCGCAGGCCACTCCATACAAGTAATGTTCATCTCTTGAAGGTAGTCATTTACAATCCTACCTGTATGAGGTCGGGCATTGTCATGCATAAATATAGCATCCTCACCAAAATTGACCATAAATGGACCAACGTGTTCATTGAGGATTTCATCTACATATCTTTCGCTAGTTAAAGAGCCGTTTTCTATGATCACCAGCTCTGTGCGACTTTCAGAAGAAATTCCGGCCCACACAAGTACAGACCCACCACCGTAGGCTACTTTTTCTTCGATGCATGCTTGCTTGAATCTCTCCCCTGGTCTTCTATACACTCTGTGTCTTCCATCGTGCTTGTAGAGGATAAATTTTGATTCGTCGGAGAACATAACTTTCGACCAATCTTCAATACTCCAATTTACGTGGTTCTGGGCATATCTTAGTCTTGAAATACGATGCCCACGCTCCAGTTTAGGGCCGTTTGCAGGTCTAAGGGGTTTTAAGTTAGATTCAGCAAGCCGACGTCTTACTGTCCATGCACTTGGGTTACTTCCTCCGAGGTGTCGAAACTGATTTGTGAGTTCAGCTCCTGTGAGAAAGCGATTTCGAAGCATGGTGTTCACCAAGTATCGGTCTTCTCGTGCTGTGGTACACCTAGTTCTGCCCGTTCCTGGTCTGCGTAGGTTAGAACCAGTTTCTTCGTAACGTCGGAGAACTCTTTGTACTGTTGACAGCGACACACCGACAGTCCTGGCTGTATCGCGCTGACTCCGGCCAGTTTCCACCAATGTAAGTATTCTGGTGCATTCTTCAAGTGTAAGCGACATGATTTCAGCTTAAATAATGAATATTAAGCACTATCAACATGGTTTATGTACCCACATAAATGACAGATTACAAACAAAAGCAAAAACAAATGCTGTAATTTCGTAGTTCCATCTTCGAAAGTGTTCCCTTTTCATATTTGATTTTTTTATGATATGACTTTACAATAACTAAAAAGTTTTAATACCTTCATTTAAGGAGTATTAAATTGTCTATTAAATACAATTTATTGCATTAACCTAGCATTTTTAGTTTCCGAGATTTTTCGGATTCTTTTAGTGACCCGGATTCATTGCTCTCGAGTGTATAAACGTTTTATGAATCATTGATGCGACTACAATGCAAACAATTTTGATTCCATGTTAAGGGTCAATTTTGTCTTAATACATTAAAAATCCATTTTGTCTAGTAATTTTGTCAGAATGGCTATAGTAAATGGTAGCATATAATTGACAAAAAATTTATAATTTAACTTATAAGGCAAAATTCGCGCCCGACGTGGACCTCCACAACCAACCGTACCACCGCGAATTAAAGAACTCCTGATACTCACTGATATGGTCGTTCTCCCGAATGTGTTCTCATGTGTGTGGTTACACTTGAACTTTGACTGAACCTTCGGTCACAGATAAGACACCTAGAACATAATAAATAAATCAAATTTTGATATACCTACATTAATTATTGTCACTTATATATTTACGAACCAACAAAAAAGCACTCAACAATTACTTGATTTTGGCACTTAAATATGCTATCTTAGAAAAACCTTAAAAACAGATTTTGAAATGGCTAGAAGTCTGTCTTTAAAATTCACTTACCTAAAAGGTTTCTGTCCCGTATGAGTTCTTACATGAGCAGTCAAGTTCGCAGCTTGAGAAAAGCTCTTGTTACAGTCCCCGCACCTATAGGGCCGCTCTCCAGAATGCGTGCGAAGGTGAGTTTTAAGTGTGCTTGGTCTGGCGTAAGTCTTGCCGCAGATTCGACACAGATTGGGTTTCTGTTCATCATCTTCTGAGCAACCACTTAATGAACCCAACTACGGAAAAAGAGACTTTTTGATTTAGTCCATTGACATTGAGCTGATTTTAATACTTTCACATCATGCAGCTACTCCAACAACTATGAATGTTTAAAGTTTTTAAGAAATTATTCTTTATCCCTATTTGTTATAATGTATAAATATGAAGTAAATAATATGTTTCGGTAGTTTTCAACACTCACAGGTACTTTAGCTGTAGCATTAACACAAGTAGTGTAACCGTATTCTTGTGGATGCATTTGTCCTTGATGATTAAAAATATATCCATTCCCCATATTTTGATTGTCCTTCTGCCCTTCTTGCAGAAAAATTCTTGACGGAGACCTTTTCAAGTTCGGACCAAGAGACTTTTGGGGAAAATTGGATTTTTGTGAGAAGAGGGGATAATTCGAATTAGGTTTTTGCGTGTTCTGCAGCTGCAAAGGTTTAAAAGTTGATGTGGCTGTAATTAAAGGATCAGATTGGTTAGGAGAGCGGAAGTCAGCGGTAAAGGAATACGTGGCAGAGGGATAAGCATTAGGATTAATGACATTTTGTGTTTGGGGGTATACGACGTTTACTGATGGAGGTGCTGCGTTTTGATTCCATTGTACCTGTAAGGAATTACATTGTTTTAGTAAGCGGAAAATTGCAAGATAAGCACTAGCTAACAAACTCCTTCTTTTCATGGCACATTGACAACTGTAAAAATAAACAATATCGATCAACGTAGTTGTCTTGAAAAAATCTTCCATTGTATTAGAAGGATTATGCATGTGTTAATAAAATTAACACTGAAACTCAACGTCAGAAACGAAATATTCTCTATTTATTTTCAAAGATTTTTGGGAAAGCTTCTAACCTAGCCATGATGTCGTCAAATCGTATCGTCCATTTCATTAGGTACCCTTACCACATCAAACTGATATTAAGGATGTCACCACATTTGTCGACACGGAGTCGCAATTATAAGTAGGTTAGAAAAATCTTTGTGTCCGTGTACTATGAGCGAAACGCGCGTCTTTTTGTAGGTAATTGGTATGGAGACTGCCTAAATGAAATTACTGCTAATTAGTTGTATTTTTAAGAAATTCATATAATTATAATGAAATCTCTAAAATAATGTTAATTGATTAGTTTCAGATTTTCTTCCGGTTCCAAAACAAGATAATTTTTCATTCCAGACACGTATAGCAAAACCAATTTAAAAGCTACCCAGAATGGAGGAAACAGAAAACAAAAAAATATTTGTAGAAATTTACGAGAAAATGCGGGTACAATACTGATATAACCGGACATAGTGAGAATGTCGAGAACAAACTTTTATTGCTTTTAATTACATATAAAATAAGTGTAACTAATTATGAGAGAAAACACTGACTTCCGTAACACAGGTCATTGAACCTAGCTCAGAAGCCAGGGCCTTACAATCTGTTGAAATAAAGTTCTATTATTATTATTATTTTCGTATTTATTTTAAACTCTTGTTATTATTATTATTATTATTATTAAAATACAATATGTATTATCGCTGTAAAACATCTAAATAAACTTACATAAAAGAGCTTTATGAAAAATGATTACGAAAACTTTTAAATTTTGGACGGGACAATCTAAAATTGAGGGAACATAACTATGAAAAATATTATATATATAAAGCTACAAGTTCTTACTAACTGATAGAAATAGAACGCATACTTCCCGATATAGTGGAAAAAAGATATTTATACCGTTGTACGCGGATAGATTCCAAAGCAAAGAATCAAATATGAGAAGACCTAAATGTGGAAAATATGAAAGAGTGATCAATGGCCTGCAAAAACTATATATATGGAGGGAATATTTCTGCACTTTTATGAGGTATACCTTGGTCAATTTCCGCCGGAAGTAAAAAATGTTCGAAATTTAAATAAATAAGATGGCCGCCATACAAATTTCAAAGTCTCCTATCACGGAAACTATTAGAGATAGGTAGGAGGTGCTCGAAGGAATGTCATAGAGATTAATAGTGGTCAACTGCCTGGGTTAAAAAAACAAGATGGCGAATTCAAAATGGCCTCTAGAAGTGCGGCAGAAAAAAATGTTCTGATCCCTTTGAAAATTAGCATGTGTGGGTCTCTAGGAATGCTTGATAATAATTTGTGATCAAAAATGGTTTTACGCCATTTTTTAACATGGCCGCCATTCAACAACTAATAAAAATTAGCTCTAATTCAACTGGAAATCGATATATGGGGATCTCTATAGGTGTTAGATAATAATTTGCGGTCGAAATTTATTTTTCGCCTTTTTTCAATATGGCTGCCATACAAACTTTTTAGCGCCAGATAAAAATTTGCTCTAATTCGATTGAAAGTGGACATGTCGGGGTCTCTATGAGTGTTTCATAATGATTAACAGTAAAAATTTATTTTTCGCCATTTTTCAATATGGCTGCCTTACAAACTTTTTTGGTAGTAGACAAAAATTTCTTCGAATTCGACTAAAAATGTTTTGTAAAAATTTTTAAAAAACTTTGTAAAAATGTTGTTTCTGCCGTTTTTTAATATAGCCGTAATTTTTTATGTAAATGGCTATTGAAAAAACTTGCTTTGCTCGGACTGAAAATTGCCACGAAAAGATTTCTAAGATTGTTTGATAATAATTCGTGGTCTAAATATATTTTTGCAATTTTTAAGTATGGCCGCCATTAAATAGCTATTTAATTTTTTTTAAAACAAACCCAAAAGCGCCGAGGCCGGAGGCCGAGGTCCGCGGAGGTCGAAGCCCGAAACGTTCGCACGCCATCCAATGGAGATAATATACGGAACGTAATGGATTACGAGTACAAGATCTCACAATTGTAAAAATGTAAAGCATGCTTCCCGATGTAGTGGAAATGAGATACTTATTATAGCGTTGTTGTATCGCAACCGCCTCTATGTTAGATTTCATTTTCTTAGAAGCTATGCCAAAGAGAAGTATTTAGGGAGAAAAAACTACTACCAAACTACTGCCGATTTTCTTGAACTATGAATACCAAATCAACGATAACCCAGAATACTCAGACCAAAACCAACGTAGAAATGTTCGTTTCTTAAATTGGAATAAATCGGGAATCGACCTCCTCATCAAGCGCCCATAGTACTAACTGCTGTGCCACCGAAGAGCATTAGCACACCCCGTAAACTGCAACCGACCACGCGCCGCAGGCCGAGCCCGACCCCACCGTAGGTGGGGTACAGGGCTCGTTTTATATAAAACTAAACCCGTTTATGTAAACAACGGAAATTTTTCTTGAAGTTGTATTGATTACTTACCTACATCATTATTTCCGATTTACTATTATAAGTACATAGAGGTACTTCTAATTAAACAACATAAAAATATACAGTCAACAGCTCATCTAGCTACACACTTTTGTTAGGAGTAACGGAACAAGATCCGTCAATGTATAACTGTGAGTGCAATTCCCTCAGACGGAGAGTATGCGAGGGAATTGCACAAATTAATCCGCCTCCCCTTTCCATCATCGGGGGACCAGACGTAGGCTGGGGTTTCATCTCTATGTTGTGGATATTCCAAGGATTCGCACGATTTGTTTCGCTCCCACATTTATATGGCGAACAGCTAAAGAGTGGAACTACTTGCCTGCAGACTTGTTCCTTGAACGCTAGAACATGAGCCTTTTCAAGGCGAGAGGGAATAGGCATTATTTAGGTGTGCATGCTCCATTATCGACTTCATCGTCACTTTCGGTCTATTATATTTATATTATATATTTCCATATACTATTGTTGAACTAAAAACGTTTTTATAATATGTTACAAATAAATGTAAACCTGCGAACAAAGCTGGTCTGGTGGACAGCCATGCATGGTCATATTCATAGAAACATTGACGCTCATTGTAGGGAAGAGCGGCGCGGCGCCATAGTGCTCGTAGTACGGGTACCCACTGCCGCTGTTCACCATCATCTGTAGACAGAAATTCTAATTGCACCATGGTAGTATAAGGTAGCAATTAATTAATCGTTGGTTGGTAGATGATTGATTTGACTATTGCTTTGCTTCCCACGAGACAGGCGTAGTTTTTTTTTTCTGAAACCATTACGTGTATTATTGTATCTATTTGTAATTTGTGGAAATAAATAAATTTTATTATTATTATAGTGTGGGGATCATGGTTCAAATATGTAATTGTTAATTCTAAGTTATATTAAATAAATTTTTATTATTTTATTATTATTATTACTATTTCATCGTTACTTTGCTTTTGCACCAAGACGTGGCAGGTTGTTGGAAGAGGATATAGGTACAATGCGCCTCTAACTTTATACCGTCATGTAGGACAAAACTACTCAGCTAGGAAGTCAAAGTTGGATTTTAAAGTAATTCTAGTGGTGCCCTGTAAAATAATGCAGTAATTAACTGACTTTTCATAACAGTAAATCTGCTTGACGGAAGAAATAAGCATATATATGGTGGCAGTATTTCCCTGGACAAATTCTTTCACAAGGACCTCTACCGCTACTAAAATGATGATAATGACGAAGATGCTAATAATGTTTATGCAGCTGATGATGCTGATGCTGCTGATGGTGCTTTGATTCTGATGGTGCTGAGGAGCTAATGATTCTGATGGTGCTGATGACTGTGATGATGCTGATGGTACTGATGGCGCTTATGATGCTGAGGGTGCGGATGATGATTATGTTAAAAGTGCTAATGATACTGGTGGTCCTGATGGTTCTGAAGGTGCTGATGATTCTGATGGTGCTGATGCCAATATTGAGTCACGCCTAGCCACCAGTCATCATCAGCACCATCACAATCATCAGCACGACCAGCATCATCAGCACTTTTAGCATAGTCATCATCAGTACCATCAGAATTAGCACCATCCGCCTCATCAGCACCACCCGCACCATCAGAATCACTAGCATCATTAGCATCATCAGCACCATTAGCATTATATGCAAGCATCATCAGCTGCATTAACTTTATTAGCGTCTTCGTCATAATCATCATTTTAGTAGCAGTACCAACTATAATTATTTCTTTCAACTAGCAAGTTTAATGCAATGAAAAGTCAGTTATGTAAGGGAGACGTAGCAAATATCGGATACTTTTTGAACATTGGAAAAAAACACTAATATATCTAATATTTAAATATTTATATTTATTGCAGTCACAGTCATCGTCCATCTAAACGCTTTACATTAGAAAATGAATGAAACTTATATCTATGTTCATTTATTTTTTATATATTTATTTTGTTTTAATAAGAAAAATCAACGATGTTTTCACATGTACCCTAAGTGTATGTATCCAGTATAGGGTACGCTATTCAATATTGGATATCCTGTATAGGGTACACTCTATTAACCAGGGCATGTATATAAACGATCCTTTAAATTTGCGAAAGCAGTAGGCAAAAAAAGATCTAAACGGTCATCTTTTTTAATGATCCCCATCTAAACAAATAATTAAACTTTTGAATGTGTAAGACACAGTACAACCAGTGATGTATACTCCAATATCGGATATCTAGTATTGTGGATACCTAGGTATCCAACATTGAGGTAACTACCTACTTGTACAATAATCGGTTAAGAAAATAATAAACCTGCGAAATTATCGCTAAAATGCGTTAAGTATTCTAACGATGCGATAGTATACAGTGTTATACCGGGTGGAAATTTGTAATGCCACTTGGAAGGAAAGTACGTTAAATACTGGAGATAGAAATTTTTACTTAAAGGAAACATTCCTTTATTTTTAAAAAGAAATAATACTTTATTCAAAGATTTTCGAAAATTGCTAGCCACGCGCGGGAATCGAACCCACTAAAATCTTTAAAAATTGCCCTGTACTTTTATTAAATCAATCCATAGGGTCAATTATGAGGACGAAATCTCTCTTACAAACCATGAAATCTGGATTTATAAATTCAATGGGTCAAGTTAAAGCACTTTTACTCAAAGGTCCATCAGATTACTTGTTAATTATCGTTGACGTCATTTATCCATTAAAATTATGAAGTAGGTACTATTTAGATAAGAAGATTGCAATTTGCACATGTTTGTAATGCAGACTCTTTGGTCAGTGGCATGAGGTAATTTAAATATGGAATGTTTCATTTGAAAAGGGATTGTCTTTTGTTATTTCCATTTGATTGTTTTTACATATCCTTTCTAAGTACTGATAGTTTTCCTATAAATACATTGACTTACAATTATATGGACGTCGGGTCCGCGCTAAAAAGTGTCCGCACTTGTAAGGCGCTAAAATCGTATACAGAGCGCGACACTCCGCTTTAGTCTTCATTTGTTCTACGGACAGCGCGATACTGCGATGACATAACAATTTAAATTTCGAATAGGTTGACTTGGGACATTTTTTTCGTGGTTTTTGTATTAGACCCGTCGTCCATTTATTTGTAAGTCAATGTATAAATAAATAAATTTCATATTTGTCTCATCGTAAAAATGGCATATCAAGAACTATTTGATTTAATGGAAGCTTATTTTTTAAATAACAAAAATGTAAATTTAGCTCTGCGGTGGTATGAAGAGAGATATCGGGATCGACAAGCACCAAATCTATTCGTTCTGAAGAGAATGGTAAATAATTTAAAAAATACGGGTAGCTACGAAAAGCGACGGCAAACTCCCCAACAGAACTATTCCGAATTCGATTTTAATGTTTTAACATACTTCGAAACATTTCCAAAGGCTTCAAGCAGAGATGCTGCAGAAAATATTGGAAAGAACCACACTCGCGTACTCCAAATGCTTAAAAGTATAAGTATAAATGTTATCGTGACGGCCGGTTGGTGCAAAAATTGCATCCTGGGGATTGTGAGAAACGACTTCAATTTTGTCAAAACATGCTAAGAGAAGTTGGCCGTAACCCGAATTTTTTGAGTAACATTGTATGATCTGACGAAACCAACTTCAGTAATAACGGCATGTAGGTACAACCGCGACAATAACCATTATTGGTCTCGAGTGAATCCTGTTCGTGTTCATGAAACTAACAGTCAAGTAAGATTCTCTTTCAATGTTTGGTGCGGAATTATGAGATTATGGTTGTTTTAGTCCACGTGTACGAAGGTCATTTGAACACTGTCAAGTATCTCGAAATACTGGACCTTTTAAGAAATGAGTTAAATGTTTCGTGTTGAATTCGAATATTTCTGCAGCAAGATGGTGCTCCAGCCCATAACAGCAGAGTCACTACTACTGCCTACATTAGTAACCATTTTAATACCTGGATTGGTACAAACGGCATAACCAGATGGCCTGCGAGATCACCAGATCTCACCCCTTTAGATTTTTTTTGTGGGGATATGTTAAAAATCAAATTTACCTTAAATCCTATGCGAGTGTAAACGAGTTGAAGACTGAGGTTCAGAATACGATTTGTAATACAATTCCATCACAACACGTTATTAGAAGTTACTCAAAATGAATTCGTTAAAAGATTAAATTTGTGTATCCAAAAAAATGGAGCTCATTTCGAGCAACTAATTAGTTAGATTACCATTTTTTTCGTTTTATTAAAATACGTTAAGATTTCATGGCTTTTTTTTCATTTAATTAACCAATTTTGTGAGAGAGATTTTATTCTTATAATTAACCCAATCTTATAATTAACAATCGATCGATGCAATAAAAGGGCCGGGTGCATTTTTTCCAGATTAAAGCGGGTTCGATTCCCGCGTGTTGCTAGAAATTGTCGAAAATCTATGAATGCAGTTTTATTTCTTTTAAAAAATAAAGGAATGTTTCCTTTAAGTAAAAATTTCTATCTCCAGTATTTAGAGTACTTTCCCTCCAGGTGGCATTACAAATTTCCACCCGGTATCACACTGTCACAAAATATGATATAACACTTACAGTACTTTTACAGCGTTTTGAAATCAAGGTCTGAAAAAATACACTTTGAATGTTGACAGCGAAGGCAATAATGGCGTAGACAACTAGCAAAATATTGGTAAAAGCTTACATTATCGAAGTAGTATTAATTTTTAAATAAAGATGGTGTCGTTTAGTTTTCATTATAGCGGGGTATCCAGTATTGTGCACGTATCCAACATTTGGAACGTCTCCCCTATTGCATTTTTTTGACATGAATTTCTTTAAAATCCAACTTTGACTTACAACATCGTCGTACAACATCGTAGGACAAAGCTGCTATGTGAGTAGCCTCGTCCTACGATGCAGTAAAACCATTTCCAGAAATACGGAATACGAAAAAAGTAATGAATTAAAATTTGGTGGTTTTAACAACTCTATGTCACTCCTTATAGCTATATCTATACATGTATCTATAGATTTGTATCACCTTTTTCCGACCTATGGTCATTGTAGGTATGTACATACGTTTAAGCCATTTATGTGGTCTGTTGTTTAAGCAAATGCAATCAAAGTGCAACATTCTACTCAAAGTCGATATGTTAAGTCCCAAAATTAAAAAACTCTATTACGGTTAGAAGAAGTGAACATTTTTTCAAGAAAGTTTACGTTTTTTGTTTTTTAGGTTTCCTTTACAACAGAGGAACTTTAAATACCTACATCAAATTAAAGCTAATTTCAAAAAACTCAATCATAAAGCTGAGCAAACGGATTTTGTACGTATTCCCATACAATACGAAGCCAGATTAATCTCAGTATTGCTATATTAATTACAACAATTTCATAGAAACGCCCGCCCCTCATATTTCTACTTTATTCCTTTGCAATTTTCCTAAACCACCCCTTTTAACAGAAAAGGATAGCTTATTACATTACTTGAATGTTGAAACAAGACGACGCTTTATCAAATATTAGTTAAACTTACAAATGTATGGGCATCCCTTTCTGGCACATGTTACTTGATTGAGAAGTGGAAAGAGAGAGCAATACCTGAGGGTGTACAGCTTCGGAAGAGCAGTCGCTATGGACGACAGCGTGCTTTAAGGAGAGAAGGACGTCCGCCGCTTCCCCCCCTCCTCGTTCTCTACATTCGCCCCCGTTGTTCCTGCTGAAAACGGAAGCTTCTCAAAACAACTCGTCTCATAAGTATTATTGTAACAGATTTTCTGGCTGCATTACATAATGTATCTACGTCTAAACTAGAATAATTAAAAATATTGAAGAAAGATTTGATGAGGATATTTCTTAAATAAATGTTAAAGAAAAAGCCTTCATGATTTTCCTGTACAAATGATTAAATAAACATATAAATTAAAAAATAGTTGGGCAAAAGTCGAAGAGGCTTATATGTATAGCGCGTGCACTGGCCGTGTTGGATATGCTGAGGATAACGAACCATTGTCTGAAACCCAAATCAGCTTTCATAAATCTCCACCACGAGAATAGTTTCCACAGCTAAAGGTACCTCCGAACCTACTTGGCGCTAGATTCTCAACCGACTTTACGGCTGCTATAGCGGATGGTCCTTCCAACAAACCCCGCAAGTAACGTCTAAGACCATGGCCCTGTCTTGCCTAAAAGAGACGAGTGTTTTCTGATTTTTGTTTGGCAGTCCAGCATGGTTACCGTTCGGCCACGGAGTACCTACAATATGAGAAAGTACCTACAAGCTTCTCATCGTTTAATTGTTAACAGTAGTGACGCACTGTTGTCGCTGTAACTGTCGCGTTACTACCATAACGTGTACGCGAGTGTACAAGTTATTTTAAATACTTTCTGCTGGAGGTCGTACCGGTTCTCTCTTTCTCGTGTAATCAGTGTTTTGCGTAACGAGTGCTTCTACTTTATTTTTAATTTCTTTGATCGAGAAAATGTGTCAAGGCCACGAAACTAGGTAATTAATAAGGTTGCATTCGATGCAGCAAAGCCCCTCTCGTAGTTCCTAAAAGTACCAAGTACCGTTCTGTTTCTTTATATTTTGATGTTTTAGCAAATGGCAAATTTAATGAAATTATTTTTTATTATGGCTTGGGTTTTTTAGCATTATTTAATTTTCAATACGAAATGTCCTTTTCGGGAGTTACTGCACTTCTTAATACGAAATCGCATAAACCGGTCAGATAATTTATGCCCATGTAATAACAGCGAAAAAAACTTTGTGCGTTTTCTACAATGCGATCGGAATTGAAACGCGCAATGTCTCTTTTAAAAGCGGTTACACACGGCGCTTTTAGCAGCGATGCAGTAGCGAAGAAGTCGCTAATTGTTTAGCGATGCAAACGCGATGCAGCAAACTCTAAGCCTAGTGGCCGCCATAAAGGGAATATAGGAACACTTTTGTCACTTTTCGATTTGCAGAGGGATGAGTCAAAATAGGAACAGACACCACCTATAAACATAATTTTAAATATTTTAAATTTTTATTGAATTGATATTTAATTTATTTTTTGTGAAATTATTCCACTAGTTTGTTATAATTATTAGTACAAAGATCGAACACTCGGAAAAAATCCCTTCGATCCGGCCGGATTCGAACCGACGTCTTCTAGCTTACCGTGCCAGACGCTATACCAACTAAGCCACGGAACGAACAAGATAATTTTAAATATTTCTGTTACTAACACCCTATGTCAATTGATCTTAAAGTAAAGATTTTTTGTAACTTTTTTATTTTATTCGGCGCAAAAGTCGCTGATTCGAGTCCAGCCGGATCGAAAGAATGTTTTATTCATGTTTGACCTTTGTATCAATGATAACAACAAACTAGTGGAATATTTTCACAAAAAATATATGAATATTAAAATATGGCAGTAAAAAGTTCAGGATATTCAATAACATACATGCATCATTAACATATACATGCGTTTTGTTTACATTATATGGAGCTCTTACAGGGACAAGACCTATCCAATTGCAAAGAGGGGAGCGACAGGGAGATGTCATTTCTCCGAAACTGTTCACCACTGCGCTGGAAAATGCCTTCAAGTTATTGGACTGGAAAGGACTCGGCATCGATATCAATGGCGAGTACATCACTCACCTTCGATTTGCTGACGATATCGTGGTCATGCAGAATCGTAGGAAGAGCTTGGCACCGTGCTCGGTGACCTCAATAGTTTCCTAGCAGTTGGGTCTAAAAATGAACATGGACAAGACGAAACTTATGTCGAATGTCCATGTCGTACCCACCCCTATAATAGTAGTAACTTCTACTCTCGGACAAACCGTCGAATTAGGCAGAGCCAACTTCGAGAAAGAAGTCAATCGTCGAATCAGACCCGGTTGGGCAGCTTTCGGAAAGCCCCGGGACGTCTTCTCGCCCACAATACAGTAGTCCTTGAAGACAAAAGCAGTGCGTGTTGCCAGCGATTACGGCTCTGAGACGTGGTCACTTTCTATGGGCCTCGTAAAAAAGCTTAAAGTTACTCAACGAGCCATGGAGCGAGCAACGCTCGGCATTTCTCTACATGATCGAATCAGAAATGAAGAGATCCCTAGACGAACGAAAGTCACGGATATAGTTCAAAGCAAAGGATTAGCAAGTTGAAGTGGCAGTGGACAGGGCACATAGGTCGTAGAACTAACAGTCGTTGGAGCAGAAAGGTTCTCAATAGAGATTACGAACCGGAAGGCGTTTAGTGGGACGGCCCCTTATTCGATGGACGGATGACCTGATAAGGGCGGCGTGTAACCGATGGATGTACGTCGCGTCCTATCGACTAGTCTAGAAATCTTTGGAGGAGGCCTATATTCAGCAGTGGACGTCTTCCGGCTGATATGATGATGATGATGACATGGAGAAGAAATAAGTTGAAATATTAGAGTAAATAAATACAAAAATAACTCACTTGTATCCGCTGCAAGGTGAAAATGGGAATAATGACGGCAATGGATCCAGTTCAAGCGGCGGCAGCGAAAATGAGCCCATGTCTTCTGTGGGCCACACGCCTTCTGCCGAGTTCACATCGCCGTCGAGGTTCACCTCGCAAGGTGCGATGGATTCGCTTAACGCGTTTAAATCTTCGCCATTTTCTGGGCAGCAGTTTTCGTTTTCTTGCTGTAAAGAAAACTTTCATCCATAACTCTTGCAAAGGAAACTAATACACATACAAAGTGTTGAAGGGACCAAAATAAGCAAGGTACTTGTACTATCCTTGTCATAAACAACGCGTTTACAATCTAGTAACTTTCGACGTATTGGCACCTAAAGTGATTTTTTTCTCCGAAAAATGTCAATTGCTAATCGTTTGTCAAAAGTGCTTCTATCGCGTGAAAGCATTGACTTACGTGAATGTCATAAAAATAATACGAACTACGTGAAACAAATTTTATGTAATGTGAAATTTTAAAACACTTCCATTTGAACTTATAAAAGTTATCGACTAGTTTCGTTCAGCCTCTTTCTTAAAAACTTGTCATTTTGCAGATATGGCCTTATTACACCAAAGGTTATATATAACCGTCGATATCATTTTATAAATTAAATAAAATTAAATAGGACTTTATTCATCAAACACACCCACACATATACATTGAACGTCACACGATATTATGTACTAACAAATTATGTGCTATGAGTGATGAGAAGGACGAAGTCTCAGCATAGTGCTGTATTTCAGTCCCCGCCTGTGTTCTCTGTCGGATATTGCCCGAACATAATTTTGAGCAAAGAATTACAACAAAACAAACGTCACTAATCTAACTTAAATCTAACTAAAAACTAACTATTTATTTACTGGTTACAAGTGATAATAATACACACATGAAGCAAAAACAAACAAATCTAATTAGGACGACAAAGGGTACAAATGACTGTTATCAGACTATACGGATTACTATTCCACAAACGACCAGGAACAAGACGACTTTTGTTGCAAAATAAGCCGTTTCTTGCACTTTCGTTTGAATGTATAAAAAGACTCAGCCGTCTTCACTGGTGGTGGAAGGTCATTCCAACATTTAGAGGCGGCAAAACCGAAGCTGCCTATGAATGAAGTCAGATATGGGCGAATCCGCATTTGTAACATTGGGTATCTAATTTATCGAGTGTTGCTCTTCCCCCTATCATTCCAGTTCAATTTATCCGCCAAATACTGAGGCGTACTACTCAATCGTAAGTTGAATATGAGCCCATTCAATTTTAAATTTCGCCTGTGACTCATGTCTAAAATATTAAAAGTACCTATTTAGAAATGGAGTTATATGAGAACGAGATGGATACACTGTAACAAAACCTCGCACAGGAGTTCTGAACTCTTTTAATTAGTCTTTTTATATATAACAGGAACCATATACAATATTGCCGTAATCTATGATAGATAGTACCAACGAGTCCGTCAATCTCCGTCTCATAATATTAATATCAAGTGACGGGACAAATAAGTCGTGCGCCTGATGGTAAGCTACACGCCTTTTCTGTTGGACAGAGGGAAGAGTTTCGATTTAAAACTCTTCATTCAAAGCTTTAAATCAAATCGCAAAGATCTGAGGGGCACTGCTACTGCGCCCGTCACCCTGAGACGTAAGTTGATAAGTCCCATGTGCCTGTAATTTCACCAGCACCCTTCAAAACCGGAACACAGTACACATTACTACTTGACGGCAGAAATAGGCAAGGTGGGGCAGTACTATCCTGGACGAACTCTTTCACAAGGAGCTCTACTGCTACTGAAATATCGTAATTGAATTACTAAATTTAGTAAAATTTAATTATTACCTTCTTACTTATATCTGAAATCAGCAAAACGAGATAAGAAAACAAAACTTTTGGTGGGAATATCTTGAAAGCCAAACCAAATTACAATGCGTTGTTTATGACAAGTAGAGCTCCCGTTGCCATCCAAAGCACGTTGTTTGCTTTGCTTCTACAAATAACAATATAATGAAAAATTTTTCATTACCTGGCACGCCGTAGCAATGGTACCTACCGCGTGGCAGCTTTAATTTCAAAAGACGCAGTATGAGAAAATAAAACTATTTTTTTTGTTCGATTTTAAATCGCGTACCTACCCATATTTGTCATCTTGTTTACTATCATCCGTGACTATGGGACCTGTATAAAGGGCTCGTTACGTTGATTTGTTTTTTTTTTTAACAAACCAACGTTACATTACGCTGGTCATAGAACCGCAAAATAACAGTTTTACTTCCAATGTGTAACGAATCGCGAAAACCTCACAACTGTGTATGGTATGAGAAAATACCTAGCTCCTGGCGCTCGGCTTAGGTCTGCAATGCAACTACATGTTTTCTAGTTTTGAAAATAATAGACATTTTATATTTAAATTTGGGAATAACCTTGAGAAGTACCTATCATTTTATAAGCCACATATTTACCGCCAATATCACATAAAACTTTACTGTCGCAACTTCTAAAGAAATATTCATTTAACGTGTTTCAAACTTCGTCATTTTCTGTACAACAGTCGCCTGATATCGTATATAACGCTCATAGTATAGGGAAATCGATACCAACATTTTTCGCATCTAAATTCGAGACCCAATAATTGTCCTGAATTTTAGGACTTTACTAGTTTTTTGTTGGTATTTCGACCCTTACGTGCTTCGATCTACTGTTAGATCCCGAAATAATGGAGGTTAAAATATAAAATACTAGTTCTAAATAGAAGTATAATGTTTCAGAAAATAACATTATTTTATATTTACATTCCGATGTTATTAACACACACTTCGATCATCTAACTGGAAACTCATGTAATTATTCCTTCGCCATAAGTACCTACAATAAATAGTGAAGAACGGGAATCGGAAATCGATGGGAATTTATGTAGCAGCTCCTTGTGAAAGAGTTCGTCCAGGAAAGTACTGCCACCTTACCCATTTCAGTTTTGAAGGGTAAGAGTGGTTTCACAGGGCGACTTTTAGCAGCGATGCAAACCGTTGCGTTCCTGAAACTCGCGATTGTATCGCTACACTTGCGATTTATAGGCGATTGCATCGATGCAAACTCGCAACTGCATCGATGCAAACGCACTAGTGCATCGATACAAACGCGCGATTGCATCGATGCAATCGCCTATGACTCCCAAGTGTTGCGATGCAATCGCGCGTTTGTATCGATGCAGTCGCGCGCTTACATCGCGTTTGCATCACTGCTTAAAATCGTGCGCGTGTGTAGAGGTTGACGATTAGCGACTGCATCGCTACTGCATCGCGTTAAATTGTATTGTGGTGAGAAAAATCTAAATAATTTGTTTATTATTTATTAACCAACTTCGAGAAAAGGAGAAGGTTCTCAATTCGACTGTATGTTTTTTTTTGTATGTATGTTACGCGATAACTCATTTGTGAACCGATTTTGATGATTCTTTTTTCTTGGAAGGAAGGTACCGCATTAGTGGTCCCATTTAAATTTGAAGAAAATACTCCTTCTCTGGAAAACTAGGGGGTGAAGACGGTTTCGCGCACTTTTCCGTAACCGTTTACAATGAAACTTAGCAAATAGATGTAATTCCTCGAACTTTTGGGGTCGGTTTTTTTAGTACTCTGTACTGAGATTATTCATTTATAGTTTAATCATTATCGATTGCTTTCTTAATATCGGCCTATCTCAAAATCAGCTATTACATCGTGAAGGTAGTTTTAAACAACTGCAGCATAACTAAAATGTAAAGCCGACGTGTCGTATATTGGTCTATGTTGTCACATGACTATTTCTACTAATAAAAAGCTGGGTGTTCATTTTGCAACAAAACTTAACACATTATGAATTCAGCTTTGTAATAGGATAAAAAATTATAACTGTTTTAGTTTGGACCATTATTCTTAAAAAGTGAATCTCACGGGTAGGTTTCTATTTAAAAAAGCATGTGAACTGCGTGATATAAATTATGGTTTAAGATATTTATTTCTCTAAAGAAAACAAATTCATTTAGAGAGAAATACAAGATATAATAAAACTTGTACAGAGAGTATCTACGGGTTGACAAAATACAATTCAAAATTCTAATCAAGGGTACCATAAGGGTACTAATAAAATTGGCAATTATTGCCGTAGTGACACTTTAGTAGCAATTACTTATCGGCTAAATTTGAAAACTTCGTAATTCCATTGTTGGACAAAATTCTTTTACGAATTAAACCAACGATATAGAAATAAAAACATTACATCTTTCAGTAATTTGTTAAATATTTGAGCGTCTTCTTACATTTTGTTTTTCTATATGGATCTTACCTATACAAAAATTTACTTATGAAATTAAAAATATATTTTTCAGAATATTAAATATTTTCCCGAATAATTTTTCCACATTTAAGAGTCAACTCCTGTCCTGGTCAGTCAACCTGTCAAAAGTTGACAATACTGAAAACATTGGAGTCATTGCAAAGTTTTTTCCCCTGATTCTTTTATTTCGCTGTTGTCCGATCATTTTAAACCCCGTTTTACTCTAACTTACTTACACTTATATAATTCTATTTTATAATTCACTGTAAATAAAACTTCAAAAGATGCACCTAAACGTAGAACATAATATTCGCCTTCGAATTATATTTTTCCAGAAAAATTTTCACTATAAGAATTTTTCGAAAATTACACTATAGTAATCTTACCTGACAGCAATCCTCGTCGGGGAACTCCCTGAGCTGAGCGTCGAGGCAGGTGCACTGCAGCGAGTCGCAGCAGAGGCCGTGACCGCAGCATTCGGCCAGCCCGAACTGCGGGTTGTTGGGCACGTAGCAGTCCATGGCCCCGCCCCCTGTAGTCGCGCATTCTTACCGCGCAGCAGCGGTCCACGCCTCTCGCATCCTAGGATGCTGTTATTTCCGACGCTTGTAGTCCCGCGTTGGCATGACTGAAATTGTCAAGGTAAACTTTGTACTTACGTAGAGGTAACATACGCACACATATACTTAGGTACTGAAATGCTAGTTTGTAGTATAGATAGACTACATTTATAGTCTAATTGCAACATGTTGTGCGTATTGCTTGGTTAGCAATTATGTTTTATTTTACATCGTATATTTTGTCATTTATATTCTGGAGACCGAACAATAAACATGTGTCTTTAAATCAACGTACTTCACTCACTATCAAATACCATCCTTTTTAATATATGAGATGGCGACCCATACCAGCGAGCTTATCTTTTGTGAAGCAATTTGACAGCTAAAGAAATTTAATTTGAACAACGTAATATAAGTATAATGAAGACTGCGAAACAGAAAATTTAATATCAAAAAAGAAAATCAAATTATAGAATGTGAAGAAGAATAACTATAGAAGAAAAATGATTGGAGAAAAATTAGATACAAGAATTATCATAGAAGAAAAGCTATAGAAGAAGAATTAAAGAAGAAAAATCGTAGAAGCAATATTATAGAAGACTGCAAAAAAGAAGAGAGAACCGTATGAGCGGTGTCCAGGGAAATCCCGACCCACGGAGTCCAGGGTATAGCCCGGCCCATATAGCAGCGGTGTCTAGGGTAATCCCGACCCACGAAGTCCAGCCCAGCACACAAATCAGTATTGCGGCATGCAGCACCACGACGAAGCGCATCGTGTCAACCATGGAATCAGCGAGGACAACGCCAAAAACCACTTCATGAGTCATCGTGACCTACTTTCGTGCGGTACAACATACGTCCGGAGTGAATTATGTTGTAATGTAAGTTAGAATATTCATTTATTATTTTTGTAGGTATGTAGTAGGTAGACAAAGTCATGTTTAATGTTAAATACCTATGTCAGAGCAATTAAAGGAAATTCATATTAAGTTGAATTATTTCAGAGAATATTTGTGTGAAATTGGTCCAGAGGGACGTAAAAAAGATATTGAAATTAGAAGAAGCTTCTAGGTATTATATAGATGTTTGGAAGATATTGTGTCTTAGTAAAATAAAGAGGTCGACGAACAAAAGCCAAGCTCAAAAACTTTTAAATATTTTCAACATTTATTTAGAGGAATTAAGAGTAATTATAAGAAAATTAAATTATTATTATCTCTCATAGATAAGAACAATAATAATAATAATAAAATAATAATAATCTTTTAGGCTTTGGGAAAGGCGAGAGTCTAAAATAGATATAATAATAATAATAACGCACACACTCAACATATATACAGGGATTCAAACAACAATGGCGAATCCGTTTGATATAAAAACGGCCATTTCGCTGTTACCAATGATGAATGGTCAGGAGCTGGTAACTAAACATTTAATTGATAGCATTTTGTTACACACTTAATAACTGACAGTACACAGACTCAGTTGATCGAATTCGTATTGAAAACTCGACTATCACCTAGTGCTAAATTAAGATTAAAAAGCACGTAAGTATTCTACAGTGACAGATTTAGTCCTGCACTAATTAAGAAGTTTTTGTTGCCTAAAAAATCAACAGAAGCTTTACAAACACAGCTGTGTTTTAGAGCAAAACAGGGACGTAGATCGATAGAGGCATTTGGAACGGAGCTAGAGGAGATGTTTGTAAATTTGACCTTAGCTCAGTCCGATGAGGACAGCGCTAAATTTGAAATATCCTCTCAACGAGGAAACTGCGATCAAGCGATTCGCAGATGGGCTCTCCGACCCAAGGCTGAACATCATTGTAGCTTCACGGCAGGTCACGTGGCTTCCCGAAGCTACCTAGCTAGCTGTAGATGAAAATGTAAGTCGTCATAGCAATCGGAGCAGGTTATGCAGTTCAGGCCGATCGCCTATAACCGCGGTTCTTATCATGATTCTTACAAACGCAGTTCTTATGGCCAAACAAATAGTTACAGTTACCATAAAAATCATAAAAAATCAAGACATTATAGTAATAATCCAAATTATTATAATGAAAATCATGGTAACAAAGGTCAAAGAACTTCCTTTGTAAATTCCAGTCATAGAAGTAAAGACGCACGTGAGTCGCGTCCGCAGTCACGCGGTGGCCGCGCTCATTTTTCACGACTTCAGCATAACGTGCATGAGGTAGTGACACAGGAAGGATTGCGAAATACTGTGAATAACAATTTTTTCGTGCCTAAACAGTGCACTCATAATATTTTTCTTGACAGAGAAGTATCAATAGCGTACTGACATTCAATGATTTACATATTGAACGTTTTATATTGAATAAGTAAAGCACCGGCGGCAAAAAGAAAAGTAGAAACATTTTTGTGAGCGGTATATATAATAGCTACTGTCTATGAACGGGTTGAACATATAGCGTGCAATTTCGTGTTTTAAATTAATTGAAAACTGAACAAAACACGTTTTAAGAGTTAAAAAGGCGTGGAAATAGTACGTTATAAGAGCGGTGAGTAGACAATTACGCAGAGAGGGACATTCAAAGCGCGACTATTTTATTGATGCGCTGCCTGTGTGTCAATAAATGTGTTTCATCCTACTTGCGAGGACGTTTAAATAAGGAGAGTTAGAATTCGTACCCTCACATGTGATCTTACACATTTCACAAAAATAATACGAACTACGAGAAACAAATTATGCACATCTGAAATCTCTCTCTAAATCTTACATCTCTCTTAAATAAGCGTACTTATTATATTATCGTGATATCTCTTTGATTAAGTACCTTATAAAAATTAAATTTAGTAACCTCTGATAGAAAACGGTTGACTCCTTTTCCTTTTTTTTTTTGTATATCAAGTGACTAATCCATACCGATTAAATTCGCATTTAAATAAAGAAAAATCGCTTTGGATCAGTCTATTGGTTTTGAAGCTATAATAACATATATAGGTACAGACAGATATAGGTACAGACTCACAGCTTTAGACACATAGATACACACAAAATCTTCAAACCCCCTTTTCTTGCGAGAGAGGCTAAAAGTAATGAAGCCGACTGCAATTATATTATTTCTAATCCTTTTTTATATATAAGAGCATAGGGTCTAATAATAAAATTGGAAACTCCACTTCTTTTTGAGACGAGGAATGTGGCGCGAGTCACAAGTCGACTGCATTTATATTAGTTCTAATCCTTTTTTCATGTATAAGAGTATTGGTTCTAATAAATAAAATTGGAAACTCCACTTCTTTTTGGGACTAGGAATGTGGCGCGAGTCACAAGCCCACTACATTTATATTAGTTCTAATCCTTTTTTCATGTATAAGAGTATTGGTTCTAATAAATAAAATTGGAAATTCCACTTTTTTTGGGACGAGGAATGTGGCGCGAGTCACAAGCCCACTACATTTATATTAGTTCTAATCCTTTTTTCATGTATAAGAGTATTGGTTCTAATAAATAAAATTGGAAATTCCACTTTTTTGGGACGAGAAATGTGGCGCGAGTCACCGAACCGACATTTATATCAGCAGTTTAGCCTAAGCTGGTGGAGACGCAAAGGAATTTAAAAAAAGTCATAACGGTCCTGGGGCTGGTAGGGCTCTATGATTATTAATACTATTTTCAACAGAGTGTGGTGAAAATGTATTTTTTTCCTTTTCTTCTATTTTAAGTATATTTTTGTACACTATTTCATGTATTTAATGTGTGTGTAAAAATTCTCAATATGTTTGTATGAAATTTATAATGTGTAAAGACTGACCCCCTATTCCTACAGTCGAAATACATAATAGAGACAATAAACATAGAAAGTAATACCCCCAATAGATCAGATTTGGTATGGACATTTTATTTATAATAATAAAATTAATATATAAAGTAAAAAGTTGATCAGCCAGAACCAAAAAACGGCGATATAAACTCTTCGTCAACTTTATACGTAATGTGACATATTTCTGCAACATCTTGCAAATGTTATTAACCAGTTCAAAGCAATTCGGTTCATAACACAATCACTTTCACCCTCAAATGGTTTGCTCCATATAAACTTCTCCGAAAATTACAGGTATAAATATGCAACAGAAATTCAGTTAGCTCATTTCGGTGGATCTAAAGGACAACTCTCTTTACATACATGCGTGTACAATAGCACACGTACAGTATATATGTATGTATGTCAGAGGCGGTTGAGAATCAATGGAATACCATTGATTCTCAGCCGCCTCTGAATAACAAAAACACTACATCTATTTGTACTGCCTCTAAAAATTTAAGGCATGACTCATTTGCGCCCATTTAAAACCTGTAATAGACCAAATCAAATTACTGTCTCCTGACTTAATGGAACTACACATAATGAGTGACGGACCTACGACTCAGTACCGTAATAAAACAATGTTTCATCTGATCGTAAATTATCTAAGAAAAATTTGCAACGTTGAATAAATAATATGGCACTTTACTGAGGCGGGCCACGAGAAAGTGACGATGTCGGGGATTGTATAAAACGCATTTGTGATAATGCTGTCGCGAACGGAAAGGACATTACCAATATTAACAGTTTCATTGAATGCATGCAAACCAATTGCAAAGGTATTGTAGTGATTCCCGTTGATGATGAGTATGTGCCAGAAATTCAAAATATAGCATATGAAAATAGTGTCCGCCGCTTCAAAGGAACTTTTCAAATACATCAAGTGTCTTGGAGTGCGATGGAACCTTATATACTTCACGCAAGAAGACTGAGCATCTCATGCGCAGCTCACACTCAATGTCCACATTTTGAGATTGGAAAAATTAAGGTTCAACTAATTAAATATATATAATAAGGTGCGACTAATTTTGTTCTTTTCTGTGGCACTGTTGTCACTTCTGTGGTTGCAAATACTATCAAAAGTGCCATAACTCTGTTACTACTACTAGTTTTTTAAGATTATATTAATATTATCATTACGATCTAACAAAAAATATCTGGTTTTTTAAAAATTATCGATATTTTTTATTTTCTACAAATAGAAACTTCATTTTGTGTATGACCCATTTTGTACATAATAATCGTTAATAAAATACTCAATCGTAAATTATACTACGTGAAAAAGACGTGATGACTGTTGTAGGTAAACTTGACAAAAGACAAGAATAAAATGTGCGGAATTCGATTTCGATCTTCATTATATTCGTAACTAAATACATACACTCATAACATAATATTCGGAACTAAACTATCTTCGAATCCACTGGCATCTTTCGGAACAAGGCCAGATGGTACTAACGTCGTCGGTTTATAGAAACTGGGCAGTCTGCTAGTGTGGAATACGACCTCTGTGAACATTGACACAGACCGCTGCCACAGTAACCGAGAACTGCACAAAAGTCAAATACGTCAACCTTAGCCAGCCAGTGCTGCAACTTTGTATATTATTCAGTGGAAACCCTGGATCCTCGAGGACCACGAGTACCTAAACCTTCTCCCTGGTAAGGACCTAAACTGGTTGGCTTTGTTGAAGGTTTCGATTACTAGAGGACTAAGCTTTAGTCAAAGTATATCCAAAGGGCTTACATAATTTTAAAAATATACATGTAACTGGTTTTTTTACGATAACTAATGACGGAACGAACAAGTCCTACGCCTGGTGGTAAGCGACGCGCCTGCCTATAGCGTTACAGTACCACTCAAAGCTTTAAATCGCAAAAAGATCTGAGGGGTACTGCCACAGCGCCCGTCACCCTGATACATAATTATATTGATAAACTCCCATGTACTAGTAATTTCACCATTTAGATGAGTTAAGAAGAATCTGAAAAATTCTATTTCTGTTCTATCTCTTCAATGTTAAACATACCATAGTATTTCCATTATTGAATACCATTTGCATATATCTGTTATATTCTGGATATTATTAAATGATCATTCACTATTCCTATTTTTTATTTCATTCTTAAAACTTTCATACATTTCTAATTTATTTTTCTTCGTTGTAACATGTCTGTCTGTGTTGAGTGGGTATCAAATATTTTACTTTTCTTTTAAAAATATTTTGTATTAGGTTTTATAAAGAACGTCAAAATTGTAACTTTCTTATTTTGTATTGTGTTTCCAGCATATGATGTATATACGTCGATTGACAACTTTCTAATCCAATTATTTTCTAGGTACTGAAAATTAACAAATGCGCTGTTCCATTGTAGCTTTACTTTAGTTATTAATGTTAATTACCTTTGTACCCTTATATTATTCCAGACTTTTTATCCAAAATAGATCCAAAAGCCACAAAACTCTTCAAATATAATAAAAATCACAGTATTCACAAAACACTCGTCCGATCACTAATTAAATTAAACATATCGGTCAAAGCATGCGCGGTGGCAACACTGTCATGCGATAGACAAATAATATATTTGTTAAATTAACATATTTAGGCAGAGGTCGAGTCCTGTCCGCCTGCTATTGATGACTAAACTATCTATCAAGTGCTAAGTGCAAGTCCACCCGCCCCCGTAATTGGGTGTTTGTATCCAACCCCTCGTCTGAAAAAAAAACATGACATATTGTGCGCGGGAAAGCGGCTGTCAACGCATATCGGGTTAACATAGCCGGCGGCGCGCGGAAGCTTTTGTTTTTGTGGTGAGACGCGTTTAGTGTGATCTGATACCTATGTAATTTTGTAATAAAATATTTTTTGCCTATTAATAAGACTATAATTCATAATTAGTTTATTTGGTCCTACGAGCCGGATGTAGCCGTTGAAATGATATTCGGTAAGCAAGTAGATATATTTACCTCATTAAACAAACACCAAGTTCCATGTTTGATATTTGACCTAAATTTCATTTAAATGTGTCCCTTTACTAAATATGATATAAAATTGTAACTAGTAGTAAGCATATAGAGTAAACAATATTATTGCATGTTATATCAAGCTTTAACAGTAAATTTGTAAGTTGTCAATTATCTTTATCTTACTCTTACAAACGCATGCCGTGGTAACTTGTAAGTGAAAGAATACTGTATAGCCACAATCATGCAAAAATATTTATTATTTTGACTATTTGTTTATAAGTTGTCCTAAATAAATAAGTAAAGAACATATACCTAGAGTCTTTTTTTTATAATATCAAGTGCGAGTCGAACAAGTCGTGCGTCTGATGGTAAGCTACACGCCTGTCCATAACAGTTGCAGTGCCACTCTGAGTTTTAAATCGCAAAGATCTGAGGGGCACTGCCACTGCGCCCGTCACCTTGAGACATAAGTTGACACGTCCATGTGCCTATAATTTCACCAGCACCAGCACTGAATACGTAAGGTGGCAATACTTCCTGAGACGAACTCTTTCACAAGGAGCTCTACAGCTGCTAAAGCTATGCTAGAGTTATGTAAGAAAAACGGTACCTAATATGATTCAAATTGTAGCATAAAGCAAATTTTATTTATAGGGTATAAATACATAATTTAACTTATAATTTCACATTAATTTCCGTTAAATAAGAAATTAAGAAACACCGGCTGTAGGTACATCAAATGACACAAATAAACGATTTCTTAAATCATACTTAGTGTCTATTATCGAGTAGTAGCACTGTAATACTTATGTCCACTTGCACTAACCTTAAGTACGTCTTCTTAAACCAATACTTAAATTGATGAGACACTCTTAACACATTTGTATTAAATTAATGGTGTCTCTTGCATTGCAAGCATTGGTTTAAACATGGGTACTTAAGTTTAGTGCAAGTGGAGATTAATAATTGTTATAACTGTATTAGTCTCGGTGGCTCAGTCCGTATCTCCGAACAGTACGGGCGTTTAAGCCAAGAAGCTGTTTTTTTAGAAGCCTGCATAGATATATATCTATGCAGGCTTATATTACTATATCTTAGGATATATATATATTATATATATATATATATTAGGATATATTAGGATATCACTATATGTATATCTTCCAATATTTTTTCTTCCATACTACATAACACATAACAAAACAGTTACAAAACTATCTCTTCATGATTCTCCTGCTACATACCGTCGGTACAGTATAATAATAATAATAATAAATAAATGAACGCGCAGACACTCATACCTCCGCACTAGGGAAACCCTGTGTCGCGGGTGCCATGGACACACTCATAGACAACCACAAATTACATCCAAACTTACGACAGAAATAAATGTAGGCCATACAAATATTTTTCCCGGCCCGGGAATCGAACCCAGGACCTCTACGTGGCAGTCCGGCATGGTAACCGTTTGGCCACGGAGGCAGTTGATGTTTTCTACTACTCATCTTGTCATCACTTTATGATACCAAGTTACGGGACGAAAGAGCCTGGTGGTAAGCGACACGTCTGTCTGTAGCATTTGTAGTGTCATTCAGAGCTTTAAATCGCAAAGATCTAAGGGGCACTGCCACTACGTCTATCACCCTGAGGCATAAGTTGTTGACAAGTCCCACGTGGCTGTAATTTCACTATCAACTTCATCTTTTAATATAAATATCTACTAGGGCTGTACGAAAGGATCCTCGCCTCATGACTCCTTTCCTGTGAGTCTAGCACACCCTGGGCAACAATCGGCCTTACAAAAAAAAATATTATCAAATGCTTTCACCACGAGGGATGACACGCTTTGTAGTGTATACTATGGGTACGATAAGAAGATAATGTCCACTAAATAAATTACTGTAAGTAATTCAAAAACAAAATAAATTAAAAGGTCAAAATGGGTTGTTTTTTATCGACCCATTTCACTGCACTCTCAGCAAAAAAATTAACATACATATTTGGACAGGCCGCTGGCCACGTAACACTGATCTCTAGCGATCAATTGGAACGAGACCATCCGATGCCACCCAGGTAGCGGAGACTGGATGTCTGGCACATTTTGATCAATATATTGATCTTACATGTAAAGTATACTTTGATGTTTAGTTGAATTTTCAATGTCGTGACAACGGTGTTTTATAAATACGTATTGAAAATTCTTACATTTAGATAGCGCAGGCAAGCACTTATCGGTCATTCTTGGACTCGTGTTCACTACCTAATTTCCGTGGCAATTTTTATTATTTAAATATTCAAGTCTATTATCGTGTACTTATTAAGTAACATTTCACGGTATAATATTCGAATATTAAATAAACGATTACAAATTTACAATATAAAAAAATCGAATACTTAACACATTTGCATTTCGGTAACTTTCGAAATATTGGTATTTTTAGTTTATTTTTGCTAGTAAAAAATGTGTATTTTGCTTAACGATAAAACTGAAATAAATAAGATATAAAAAAACCGATTAGAGAGGGTTGTAGATCTCGTTTTGCTGGTCCCAGATAGTCAATACTCAATTTCACAGAAATGTTGATTACGTTAATTACAAGGAGGGGAGTATTATGTACAGTTTTCGTGTAATCAGAATTGCTTCATTTTGATTATGCAGATATTTTTAATTTGAATTAAATACACATTACTTTTATACTTTTATACGATGACAATGAATTTAAAAAAATAAGTTCCTTACGTATTTCCTTACCAGTTTAATAATTTCATCAATAAATAATATAATATGTAATAAATTTCTTTATTATCTCCAATAATTTATAAAAATACAAAAAATACTTTCACAAATTTAATTGTACAGGTTAACTGTAACGGGAAATAGGATCCTGTTTTATGGCACTTCTGGTTCCCCTTTCAGAAAATTACGAATAGTAAATAAGGCATTTAGATTGAATGGGTGGGCATTGGAAGAAATTACTTTATGGGATAAGCTGGCATTTGTTTACTAATTATTTGTTAAAATTTGTAATTTCTTTCGTGGTACAATAAAGAGTTTACGTACGTACATACATACATATGTACATGTGTAATATGTGTATGTGGGCTCTACATGTAGTAAAAACAATGATATTCGATATTACAATACATGTAGAAGGCGTTTCCTCGTAGGAACCAGTTTATTTAGATCTTTTTAAACTCTTGTTTACATTTTAAGTATAGTCTTCAGCCCTGAAGAGAAAAACCTTCCCAAAAAACCTCTAGCGAAGGATCTTCTGACTGATATCACGTTAAATATTTTTCTTTGTGTTTACGGCGTTTTTGGAAAGAATACTAAAGGCACTCTACACGTACAATTGAAAAAAATAATATACAATATTAACAAAGAATAATAACGCACACACTCGTAGCCTGCACTAGGGAAATCCTGTATCGCGGATACCATGGATACACACATAGAAAACCACAAATTACACCCAAAGACACGGGAGAAATAAATGAATGCCATACAATTTCTCGAACCCGGGACCTCTGTGGCCGGCCAGCACGGTAACCGTTCGGCCACGGAGGCAGTTTAACATTTTCTGACAATAGTCTAACATTTACAAAGTAAGCGCCCAGTTACGCTACACGACAACATTTAAATTCCTCGGAATAATAAAACCGCGCGGCCGTCGCGCGTTAGACGCGCGCGTGTGCACGATGAAATTCGTGTAGAATTAAGGCGCAAGGTCTTTTCTTGGAAATGAACCATTAATCATAACATTTTTATAAAATAAACTTTTGAAGTTTGTGGAATGATATTTTCTACTTTATTAAATCTATTTGCCAAGTTTTAATGAACTCTGCTAACGGAAAGTGGATGAAATCCAATAAACCAGATTCATCGCCAAATTTGCCAATATTTTCTTCAAATTTGAATGGAACCACTCCAGACCGTTCCAACGAAAAAAGAATAATCGAAATCAGTTTCCAAATGTTGGATTAATCGAGAAACAAAAAACACAGTCGAATTGAGACCTCCTACTTTTCGAAGTCGGTTAAAAATAAACGTCGAAAACGAACGGGTCTTAGTACTAATTTAAAAATTAAAAACAAATCGCTATTGTTCTATTAAAAATATTCCTTGATTGCACTCATTTTTACATCGTTTAAATATGGTTAAAGCTGTGCTAAAGAAATTGCTACTTAGTTGTCTCGTCTAGTTTCCATAGATATAGATGAAGGAATTATTATTCAAAATTAGACCAACTTTCTTTTTTGAAAAAAGACGATGAGGGGGTCCTGACTAAACCTCCGAGACGGGCAAACAGCTCCTCCTGACTACATTTTCACAGACAGGCCGTACATTTACAATAATGCCGCACGTGTTTATTCTACTTAATATTACTTCTATTAAGAAATATCTATAACAGAATAAGCAGAAATATCTATAACAGTACCTATCTATAAAAAATGGCAATCCATTTTGTGTTGTTCTTGTAATTTGTAACGTGCAGGAATTGTGTTTATTTTTAATTAATATATCCAAATTTATGAATTTTTAAACTAGATTTGTTATGTAGGTATTCATACAAGCTTCGT